ACTTTCTCGATCGTAACCCGGGGCGAAGAAAATGGTGAGAATTTTGAAAGAAGTGCGGCCGTAGCAGGTGGTATTCGCCACGGGAGAATCTGTGTTCGTGTGTGTGTGTGATCTGTGTGCGATTCGAGAGAAACATTGGGGAAGACACGCGGGTGTGGGTGTATCTTTTTCGTTCTTTTTCGCTGTTTCGTTTGATTCGGCGAGCTGATATTCGCGATCGGCCAACCGAGACGTGACGGAAAAGCTGTCGTTCGATCATTCCTTTCCTTCGAGGCCGTTGAAACCCTAGGATTAGCGACTGCGAGGTTTCGAATGAATCGTTTGAGAATTTAAATTTTCAAATGTTCACGTGAGAATCGTTAAAATGTTAATGTTTATTAGACTTTAGATTAATCCTTTGAAAATTTAAATCATCAAATTCCGATGTGGGAATCATCCAAATGCTACGGTTAATAGTTAGACTTCAGGTTAATCTTTTGAAAATTTAAATCTTCAACTGTCGAAGAATCATTAAAATTTATTACTAGATTAATTGCAGTCATCAAAATCCTAGGATCAACAACCATCGAATTCCAAATCACTCTCTTGAACTTTTAAATCTTCGAATATCCATCTCTACAAAATCTAAATAATAATTTTCAACTTTAAAGTTACATCACCGGCAACAATTTCAATAAATCGTTAAGAAAACGATACTCGACGACAATAAGGAACTGCGATGCAACCAGAAACGACTTTTAAACGACCGACAGCTCTGCAGTCGCGTGATCGGTCACCCTCTCGCTGGACCGCGAGGATTCGAGCGCTGACAGGAACCGGCGGCCATTCTTCATGTGCCCGGTCCCCTATTCAAGCACGGAAAAAAGAAAGACGTCGAATCCTCGCGCTCCCGATCATGAAACATGGCCTCTCTTAAATCGTGTCTAGAGCTGGTCCGTCGATTCGCTGAGAATCTGAGGGTATCTCTGCTCGATAGAACGTGTATCCGGTAGCTGGTTCATTCGGACGTGAAGACGACTGGCCGGCGATCGGTTTTTCGGAATGAACACGGAAAGGCACTCCGATACTTCATCGACGCGCGTCACGGGGACACGGTTCACATCTACATTTAAAAAAACTTTCGTACGCTCGCGGAATATCGGCGCGGACTAACCGGGGATTTCTTTTGGTCTAGTTCGTCCAAGTTCCTCGAAGCTGGAATTAGTTTCGAAACGAATTTGAAAGTCGGGCGCGGTCGATCCTCGAATAACACGGCTAATTGGTCCCGTACTATTCTAAACCGTGTCGTACAAGACTAAAACGTCGTACAAGTATTAAGACGACAAACTTTAATCACTCCCAGAGACGTCCGATTCAGCGGAAAGAAATATTATTCGTTACACGCGGATCGAAGTGAAATCTTGCTACTATTAATCTTCAATGGAAACGTCTCGAATGAACGGGAAAGTCTTTTGTTCTCTCTCCGAGTTGCGAATAGAAAAGTGAATTAAATGCAATTGATCGTGCAATTTTGTATTTCGTTATAGTGTTGCAATTTCCGACCGTCGCAACGTTCGATTCGACGCGAGTCGAGCAGCGTCGTTATTCCAGGACTGGCCGAGTCCGAGTCCGACAAAATGGCGGATCGCCGCGCGCGACGGTACGCCGAGGAAGTATCGGAGAAGGCCGAACGGGTCCGATTTTCGTCGTCGGAACATGGCCTCGCGGGCCTGTTAATCGTATCGCAAGCAGCAACAAACAAAGGAAGACAAGAAACACTCTGATCACGATGTAAGAGGGACCAGTGGGTGAACATGTCTCGAGCTTCGAACGTTCCGGTTGTGAAGGAAGAAGAATATATGAGAAACGAACAGAAAAGAAAGTGGAGTGACTTCTGCAAGAAATATATGATCGTATTAAGAGGAGAAATGAGAGATGCGGGGCGAGATGCTCGACATTACCTTCTTCGAGCCCGTCGTCACCGTCGCTCATCAGCTCGTCGTCCGAGCAGATGTTCAGCACGTTCACCAACATCTCCGTCACTGTCGACAGAAAAACAACGGCGTTACTGCGTATTCGATTCTTCAATCTTCCGCTACACCTACAGAATGTTCTTTACTGGAAACGTTCAACATTCTCTGATCGGATATACGCGTTATAATTGTATAATATAATTTTAACATATCAAATCGAGTGGCGACGGAGAGTTATCTCTCGAGCGCGAAGGATTAATCCGCGCCAATTCATTTGAAACAATTTAGGAATTCAAATGATCCACTTGGAGTCCTGCCCGAAAAGGTCTACCACCGCGGCAATAGTTAATAACAACTGCGGACTGCGCGCGCTCTCTGCGGAAATGCAAGTTCCGCGAGCGAAATAACGGAAATGAAGAGATACTTTTAATCGTATGAAATTAGATTCGAGTCCGAGGGGGATTAACTCGATTTTTCAGCTCGGTTTTGTTGTTCGAACCCGAACGCAACGGTTGGAAAAACTTTTGTAATATATAGAGGGCTGCGATCGTTAGGTAGATTGGTTCAAGTGGAACTGCAATCTAGTTCTCCGGAGAATGAACGGCACTGTAGCGATTTGGACAGGATAATGGAATCTTTTCCGCAACTTTTTCGCAGGAAATCTTTTGCTTATCGTTGCGCGGAGAGGGGGCGGCGCTAATTTATCCGCTCGTTAATCCGCGGGACGGATGTCCGACACGAGTGGAACGTTCTCTTACCTTTTTCACCTACAAACGGCAGGGACCACGTGAACACGTCCATGAAATTGGGCAACCAGTAAGGATGGGGCGAGCAGTTGAACTGCCTGATATTCATTACGTTGTTCTCGTACTTCAGCACGGCCGCCTGTAAAACGCCACGGAATTAATCTCTTTCGCGAGTTCGCCCGCGATTCGTCTAACAATCCTCGCCCCTAATTCCGAAAGTTGATTGCAGCGAGCCGCGTCCGTATTTTCCGAAACCCCTGAATGTCGTTATTAAACTACCCCGAAGTGGGAAACAGAATGAAGCAATAACCCCGGCGAATTTCACTCTATTCCCGGATTGTTTTCGCGCTTCGGGAACGTACGACCGCTAAAAGAAGACTCCTCGGAAACTCGATATCCGTCTTCCGAAATTCTCCGGCGAGAACGTGACTTTTTATTAACGATCCGCAGTTTTCCGTTGTTTTCGGGGCGACAGGAAGCGAGCGACTTGAACCTTTAAATATCCCGAGGAGCAGTGAGCTCGCCGGTCGCTTCTTTACCTTGTTATTGTAAACGTCGAGGTAGTTGGGCGCACTAAAGATGGTAATTAGCGATGGGAAGCCCGTCGTCTGGGATTTCCGGTACATACGGTACCCAGCATCCTGCGCCTCGTGTGCCCTGATGATGCTGAGGAGGTTGTTGTTCTGCAGGAAGTCGCAGCACGCCGCGTAACTGCGAAAACAATCGGTGGGACTCGTCTGAATCATCTGTATTCACATTTCCAATCAACCTGACTCGAAAAATCCACGATTCCGACGCGTATCGCGACGATGAAAGTCTCGGGATACCAAACAATAACCAGAGAATATGAAAAAATATTAAGAAAGAAAAATCTGCGTTGTATTCTCGATAGAACGACCAAGTTATCCGCGATTGTCTTCAGTTTATCTCGTTAAAATCAAATGGAACGTCGAGTCGGAGTCGACGCAGGACAGCGGAGCATTAAAACGCGGCCAATGCGGAGTCATTCCGAAAAGCGTAATCTGAAAATGGCGCGGCTCGCGCTCGTAACGTCCGCGAGGATGTCTTCCGCGACTCCGCCGGCAATTTCGTAATGGCCGCGCCGCTATAAAGAAGCCGTTACGCGATGCTTCGCTCCCGCTCTCCTCTCGCAGCTCCGACCCGATGCGCGGACCGTCTCGTAAATTCTCGGACGCGAGAACCCACGGTCCCGGGTCCCGATCTTCCAGCTTTTATTTCGTCCCCGTAAACGCGGCTGCCTTGGCCCCGAAGAATTATGCGAGAACCCCGCGAGTACTCGCGTTACCCGTCCGCGAGCGGTCCAGATACTCTGCCCGACCCTTTCACGGCGGATTAAATATTCTGTTTCGATGAAACGCGGTAATCGGGCACGTTCAGGAGTCTCTCGGAGAGCGCGATTCATCTTAATTTACCGTTCCGAGTTTTCTTCGGGTTCTACAGCTCCGAACGATGAGAAGTGGAAGCTCGAATACGGGACACTGGTTTTTAGAGTATTTGCCGAAGATACTGCAGTCGCTGTCGCAGTTAAGTAAAATTACCGGGGATTCGAATTATTCCGTAGTTCGAAGTGCACGGGAAGTTCTCCTCGCGATTCCGCTCGCTGTGCTAATCGCAGCTGCTTCGCGATTAATAATTTAACAAGAGGGAATCAGGAATTTATACTCATTTGAAGTGTGCACTTGTTCTGGGAGCTAAATGCTAGCGGAAGAGACGCATCGCAGTATTTGAACTCGAAAGGAAAATGAAGAATCGAGTCAGAAGCTAATGTGGTTAAGTCGATTTTTATATATTTTCCGAGTCTTGTACATTCTAATGGAATAATATTCATTTCAGTTATTCAAGGATTTACTCGTTTCTTTGGTTGTTCTAGATAAGGTAGCTCGTCTGTTTATAGCTTCCGAATACGTTGTATAATCATTTCAGAAGCCGAAACATTGATTTTCTCAATTTTTCTTTTCTGAAGTTAATCGCATTCGCTTCCGAGCGATTCAATTCTCGTATCTTAGCTGTTGTCCAAAATGTTTCCGCGTGCGCGAAGGTTGGAAACGCGCGTTGAGCATCTTCAGGATCAAGAAAAGAATTCATATATCCACGGCACGGTCTAATTGCTGGAAGTAACGCGGAACGCGCGCAGAGTTATCGGCCGTAATTCCGTCGCCGGCAACAATGGCCACCGTCTTACGGTTTTACGATCGGCCGGGAATAATTCGCCGCGGTAAAAGTCGCCGTAAAATTCGCGGCTCGTCGGCCTGCCCTCTTGGCTAAAATTAAACGCGTTTCCCGGCTTCGCCTGGCTCGAAACACCGGCGTAATCGTCGCGCGGGTGGTCGGCAATAAGAAAATCGCTGGTACCGCGATCATAATCGACGGCGCGTTAACCCCTTAACCTATTGTCCTACAACGTCGCGACAAGTCCAAACGCTATTCGCTTGTTTCGAATATAGATTGGGTATCGCTGTTCTATTATCGATTGTTCGCCTTTAACGTAAACTCATCGAATCCTTTTCTTTTCCTAACGAACTTTCGAACTGTCGAATATTCGAATACACAAGTTTTCGAATTTTTGAGTATTTAAATGTTTAAGCTTTCGAACTTTCGAATATTCAACTACTTAAGCTTTCGAATTTTCGAATATTCGACTATTTAAGCTTCGGAATGTTTGAATGTTCAAATATACAAGTTTCCGAATGTTTGAATATTCAAACATACAAGTTTCAAACACTAAGTTCTCGAATTTCGATGGTTAAGAGGCGAAGTCGCGAGGAAATGATAACGGAAGGGTGAAATCGAAGGACGACGCGGCCTAGGCGCACTTTCTCGGAAGGTTTCGCCGGAAGTTCGTCGCGAGGGAGGCTTAAAACGCTCTCGAGAATGTTGCCGGCGCGACCCGGCCCTCGGCACGCGAGGTTACACGCGAAAATTCGTGATAACTCCCGCCCCGTTCCTCGCGGGGTAATTTTATCCGGCGCGCGGCGATCGAAACGCGCGATAACAGAGCCACGGGCCGAGCATTTAGAAATTATAATGCCGCCCCGATAAATCATCATCATCTGACCGGGGTCATCTCGCGAATCGATCCTCGTTTCACCTCGTCGAATTCGATTCGTTCGTCCACTGACTTTTCCACCGTTTAACAATGATTCATTCCGCCCGAATGAAACACGATCCGCCTTTCTCGTTTACCTTGCGATCGGCGGAATCACTTTATCCCCCATTATACTTAGCATAAATCTCTACCGCGATTTCCCCGTAACGTCATCAAGCGAAAGACGAATAATCGGCGCGGCTAACGGGATTAGATGGTTCCCTTGATCGTTCGCTGCGCAGGGGGTCCGCTATAACGCTCAATATTTAGATATCGCCTTCGCAGGCCGCTATTGTAGCCGCGAGATTGAACGGAGAATAAATTCAAAGGAGACCATAGCGGAAGGAATATTCTATTCGCGGTATTTCTCGTTCGAAACTGTTCGAACGAGCAACCGGGAGTGATTTATCGTCCGGCTTCATCGTGGATTCCGTAATTCGCGATGAATTATGCGACCCGCGGACTGATTTATCGCGACCGGCTTATTGTTCCGCGCCGCCCGCCCGATGGATTAGGAGTTCAAATATTCAAACGCTCGCGCGAACGCCTTGCTCCCTCGTAAATTCGTCCGCTCCTGGGACACCGAGCTGTCTCGCGGAAAATGTCTGAGCATCTCGAAAATCGTCGACTGTCGCGGTTCACTTTAATCCCGTTCAATTTTAACACCGAAACTACCGTGTCCTTCGTCAACGACGGATCTCGGTTGTCTTGTCTCGCAATTAACGGTGTCGCGGAAGTGTTAAGTATCCGAGACGATGAACAACATTAAAAATATCAATTCGGAGAACGATGCATTATTTACTGGCGCAAACAGCGGCAGATAATTCCTCGGCGTCAACGTCTCCAAGATTCGAATCGGAACGAAACGAATCGCTCGGGAGGTTTTTAATTGTTTTCCTATGGAAATGCCGCGACCGGTTGGTTAACCGCGCGGCGCTGGGCGTCGGCGTTCAACGGCGTTCGTGTAAACAAATTAAGCGGTAGACGTCAGACGATCGACCTTTTTCGCGCGCCTATAACTGACCTGGCCAAGGACCCTGAGAAACGGCCGCGCCAAGGTAGAGGCAAGGTCGCTAACGACCATTAGGCGCCGTTCACACCGCGGCAATGATTAATGAAGCGGTTTTCGGGACGAGAGCCGGCAAGAAACGCGGAGAGAGCAGATCCTGGGAACGCTCGGAGCACGGATTCGCGGCGTGTCAAACGGCGCGTGTTTTGTCGGGAACTGGAACTTTCTTTTTAACGAGTCTGCTCGAGTGATTAGCGCTCGATGCATTAACACGTCCGAGAGCGGCGTGGCACCGCGTTGCTCGGAATTCCTTGGTCAACGCTAAAACTACCGGACGGAGCAAAATTACCCGTTCCAATTTCTGTTCGCAATTATTCATTTCGGCGATATTACGCTTCTACGTCTGGAATAGAGTTGCAATCGAATAATGTAATTACTCAAACTGCAAGAGATCATTCTATTTTATTTCGATATCTGAAATTCTGATGTAGAATTTAACTTCGTCCGCTGAAGGTTTCGAAGTCTAATTTCTTATTTCAGTAACATTGCACGTTACATAAATTTATACGAACGAATCAATAGGATACACAATCGGTTAATGATTAATCGACAAGACGACAATTAGACGCGAAAGCTCGCGTTTCCCATGCGCGACATCGTTCTCCGCGAACCCTGGCCGCCGGCGAATTTAATTAACCGCTACCACCGTTCGAAGGAAAACGCTCGATTAACGAAGCGCGCGAATTAGTAATAAGAGAGTGACTTGGATGTTCCATAATTAATATTCGGCGATCGATTTGAAAACGGCGGAGCCACCGTACCGCGGGGAACGTATCGCGAATTCCGCGTTAATTAACACTGTCGAGTGATTTTCCGGGGCCAGACAAGATATCGATTCCGCGGCGGAGCCGAGCGTTTCGACCGCCGAGGGGATTCGAACAAAGCGCGATTCCTCTTCGTTAGTCGCCGGAATTATCGATGGGGCCGCGAAATTGTCTCCTCGCGAGCATCCTCGATCAGACGGTCGCGTAGCTGTTCGGGTCTCAGTGGAAAAGTCGCGTGCACGGCCAGACCGCTCTCACGGTTCAACTATTTGCTATCGAAACCGCGCTTCCGGGTTTTTCGACGTTATCTCTGTCTCGCGGAATAGTCGAAACGAAGATGGTAACTTTTTGTAGACGGTTACTTAGACGATAGATCGATGAAGGATGATTTATATTGCGAACCCTTTGCGGACGAAGGTTGTATTCTATTGTTTTTATTCTATTGTTCCTAGAAAGCTGTTCGTTTATATATTCCCTGATAAATAATTTTCTTGGAATTCCAACAAAGATGGAAAGATTGATCATCGATGAACCGAATGGTTAAATAATTCCAAGGGAACTATTTATCAGTTTTCAATGGGTTAAATCGTCTCTAATAGATTGCGCAGCATTCGTTAAGTGATGCGATTTCTACTGTTAAATGCAGATCGGAAAAGCAAAACTAGAATTCGACGGTGAAACGGACCGAACGAAATGTCCACGGGAAATGTTAGCAGGATAAGAAAAGCTGTCTCTCACCTATAAAAGTACGAACAACCCCTGACGCTATTATGGGAGAAGTGCTCGGCGTTCTTCTCGTTCCCGAAGTCCTCGAGCGGATCGGACCAGAGCAGGTCGCACATGGGTCCGAACGCCGGTGGCTCTTTGAACCTGTCCAGCTGTAACAGCAAAGTCAACATCGATCGAATTAGTCGAAGGAACTCCGGCCGATACGCCGGCTCGTGCAAACACGCCGCACGTAATCGTCGAAACGACGACCGATGGCTCCTCTGAAAGCTTTCGATCGAACAAGTTACGCGAGGGGACAGGAACGGGGATCTTCGTGATTCGGCAACTCAGCTTCCGCCAATCTCGCTGCGCCTCGCGATCGTCTACTGCAACGCGCTTTGACATATTACGAGTTTGCGAACGCTTTCGACGTCGGCTTCGGGGACGCGCAGTATTAACGAGTTACGTCTTCGACTGTGTTTGCGGGAACTGCCGTTTTTGTAATGTTAACCCTTAGCACTCCAGATAGTTTTATAACCTATCAGCAACTGTAACTAATTTTTATGGTATCCCCAGCGAAAATGGACAATGCTATAACATATCTTATATCTTTTATTCTCCTTGTTAGCGCAGAATTTGGACGCGTGAAAAATCTAATAATTCTAGGGTAGTTTCTTTAAGATTCATTCAAATATTTAATATTATTCCTGGTGCAATATTGGAGCCTACAGAGTTCAAAGGGTTAATAGCTCGAATATTCGAAGATTTGAGAACTGCCACTGAAAAATACCAAGGAACACCACTGGACAATTATCGAGTTCGCAATGCGGCTAGGTTGACAGCCGCTGTCTGGCTGGTTCGTTTTTCCCGGCGTCGAAACTGGGTGGTCGGCGCTGCTTATTTACTCGGGAGACACACAAGCAGCCCCGGCCCCGGAGCGGTGTCTCCGCGGCATAAAGCATTCACGAACTCTGGCCTAGATTTATTCCCGGCCTCCGCGAGTCGAATCGCTCTCGGCGGCATTCAAGGGAAATCGGGGGAGGTTCGAGACCGCGGCGGAACGTCGCCGGGACCAGCCAGCCAGCCAGCCAGCCAGCCAGCCAGCCGCGGCTGCTCGGAAAAACTATTAAATATTTGAGCCCGCCGCGGCTTGAGAGGAGCAGTTCAATTTCGCCGCGGTAGGCAAACAGCCCGAGTCCTCGGCGAAACCCGTTTTCTTTCGGCTCTCCGGCCGACAACTTGAGAAACACTGTTCGACGAGTCTCATTCCCGAAACACTCGTCCGCAGAAAATCATCCCTTACTGACTCTAAGTTCGAACGTCGAGTAACGATTCTTTCGAATTAAATTCATCCGCATCCCACGCCAATGTATTGAACAGTGCTCCTCAACTTCGTTCGGAACGCTCGTCAGATTGATAGAGGTTTCCACCTTTGATGTCTCCGTCAGAAATAGCGAAACTTTCAAGCTTTAAAATGAGGAAATATTAAAATATTGAAACATTAAAATACTGAAATACCGAACTCAAATATTGAACTACCGTCAAACGTTAGCACTGTGAAATATTGAAATCTAGAAATCTAGGAATTCCTATCGATATTTCAAAGAGACACTTATATACTAAAACTACAGCACGTTTTACGAGATTGTTAATAACCGTAAGAAGTATTAAACAATTCGAGCGGGAAAGAACGTTGCCATTCGGGGACGAAGAAACATCGCTCGCGCGGATGCGAGCGGCGAACGAATGCGAGGCAAAAAGGGTAAGTGTCGGTTCGATAGCGAACGCTGAAACGTTTCCAATAATTACCACGCTGTAATTACCCGACTATAACGGGGTGACTTAACGTTGACGTATCGGCGTTGTCTCTGTGCGCCGAGCGCGCCGTGGGCTGCAAGTTTCGATCATAATAGGTAACGCTAATTATGCTGAATGACATTAGTTCCCCGCACAGAGGGCACGTGGGCGTGCGAGCGTGCGCGCGCGCAAACTGCACGGGCTATAGTGCCCCGAACACTAGCGGAATGGGAATGCAGTTTACACTGTAACGAGCGGTTTGCACCTAATAATGCCAGACGCAATAACATCGGCATTATTGCCCTCTGCGAAGTGGCCGTCTCGTTTTCGCTTCTAAATCGGCATTAATCTCGGAAACGATCGGCTCACGCGGCCAACACGTTATTTAGCTATTTCGAATTAGCGGAGCTTATTCAGGCAATCTGTCGACGCCCGATAAGTCTTCGTGAATTCCCCTTAGAAGTCTTAGAAGAGATTACTCGGGGAATTATTTCGGTTTCTGGATTTATTATCGCAAATAGAATATTCCGCAGTGTTCTAATACCATTCCAGCAACGTTCGCGTTGTCAAATGTTAAGGAACTTCGTTGCGAATAATCCTATACACTACAAAATCGTAGAGATTGACTTAATTACTTAGGACTTCGAGATAAACTGTTAACTCCATTTCAATTTTCCTCGAGAAATTTAATCTATAACTTATGCGACAATACATTAGTCGCACGGACTGACACTTGAAATAAACGAGATCACTCGTAGAAGTCGAACGCGGGATGTCTGACTAAACACTCTCTCATACTACTTGCGCCAGGGCGAAGAACAAATGATTGCTACACGAGAAACACGGTGCAAGAATTCTATTCCGTCTTCCTCGTCCTGTCACTGTCTCCATTCTTCAACGATTCTGGAATCACAGGCTGTCGGTATAAGGCACGCCACAAGTTTTCTTCGTTATGACGTTCGCGCTGCTCCATTCCGAGGCGTCCGTTCAAGAGCAAATTCCTCTTAGCCCGAAGTTCTCCCATTAAGTAATACCTAGAGCCGAACTCCAGTCCACCAATCTATCCGCAAGGCAGCCAGTGTCCCAGCAAACAGAATTATCGCTGGTCCAACGAGCGGCGTCTCCGCAGAAGAAGGTCCCACGAATCTTCCGGCGCTGATTCGCCCGCTAAAACGGCGCCATGTTTTTCCAGGCGCCCCGCCCCCGAAAAACAGACACCCCGGAGGAGCGATCGAGTTCGCCGAGACACGAGGGCTCTGTAAATTAGCCGGGTCTTCCCGATTACCGCCGCTAATTGGACCGCTTCATTTTCGCGAACCCCTCGAAACCTCGAAATTCGGCGTGGAAACGCGGAAGACGCGTTCTCGCCGTGGCCTCCATTCGAAATTCCTGCCACGGAATGATGGGACTTTGCGGCGGAACTGGCGACAACTCGTTCTTGCGCGAATTGCGCCTTGTAACACGGACTTTCGCGTTTCTTCGTTGCTTCGCCTGAAAGTGTTAGCTTCTGTATGGATCGTACGATCGAATTCGGTTCGTTTATTCGCGTTCTTCTGAATTGTCTGTCTTCACTAGCTGCCTAGTGCTATTTAGAATCTTTTATTTTCGCAACGACTCGAGGCACTCGCACGGTTAAGCTTCAAAAGGATGCTGCCTCGCTGGAAATTGGACTAGTCGAGTGTCGTCGAGGAAACGAAGATGCGTCAGTGTCCTCTTCCTGCTTCAGCTTGCTTACAGTCGCGACACCCAACGATCTTCCTTCGAGAATTGCCGAAGTTCAGCAACTGTTACCTCGTTTCCTCTCTAGGCTTCATTTCTGAATTGCAATCGCTTCGAAGATCTATTTGTTGCTTCGAAATGCAATCTCTTGAAACCAACAAACTCTGAACCCTTTGCACTCGAGAGGTGTCAGTCACTTGATTTGACATAGTAAAATTATAGAATGTGATATTTAATGTTAAACTTTGTATAATGCGATACGTGAAACATTGGAATAAAACAGCGTTCTTCAATGTACTGGTGATTTCTCTTCGAATTAGTCTCAAACATCGTCTTCGTAAAGGAATGTTAAATATTTCTAGTAAACATCCGAGTGCAAAGGGTTAATATCCAATTTCTTCTTTCTCGATCCTTGAAGACTGTTCAACGAAACCTTCACTCCAAATCTTCCAGAGTATTAGATCATTCCTCGACGGAAACATCGGCCATTTAAAAATGCTTGATTCGCAAAAGTCCGTCGTTCGATTCGTTCGATCGAGCTAATCGGCCGGCTTCTAGTCGATCGAGGAAGGAGAAACAGAATCGGTTCCCGCAGGTCGGCATGCGAACGCGGAAGAAGAGGGTGTCCGTTGTATTCCCGGGCCGGCATTTGGTATTCATATCGCTTACCCGCGGTCGCAAAACCCGTCTTTTACATAGAAGCACACGGAATAATACATAACAGAGGCCGGGGGAAGCGGATCTATGGGGCTCTGATAAATATTGCATGGTCGACGCCCCCACTGTCGCCGGAATATCCAGCATATTTCCCGCGGATACTTTCTTCCTCCGCCGGACCGCCGCGATCTCCCCGATACCGAATAAACGATCCTCTCTCGTCCGACTAGCCGCGACGCTCGCCGGAATTCCGCGTATTGGAGCTTCCGTTTCTAGACAACCGACTGGGGAAATTGATCCGCGGACACGTACTCGTACAGCTTCGATCTTGATCAGCGGAGAGAACGGAGAGACGGAACGTATTCCGATAACGCGCTTCGAAATTCGAGACTGCTTTCTAACCGATTTTCCCGAAAATGTTCCACATACATGTTCATCGGTATATTTATTCTTGACTATTTCAAATTGCAACTTCTTTGGCTACGCAGAACGTTGCGTCAATGAATCAGTTTGACTTGAACTGAATTAAATCATAAAATATTCACATTTATATATACAACGGAAGGTGTACTTGTTGGGTTAGAATTCAATTACGTCAGATTTAAGCTCCGCAATTATCGTCGATAGTATATTATAGCCGTCTATGGCCAGCAGTTCACCTAACCGAATGTCTCTTTAGGCGCCAGCGGTAGCCAAGGGGTTAACACTGAGCTCTCCGCAGTTCGATCGAGCTCGCAAGCTTCCGTTCTTAAATTACCCGTTACCCGAAATCCGTATTTTCCACGGGAGAATCGGGAGCTCCCGTAAAAGCGGCGGCATTATACGAAAGCAGAAGTACGACCCGAGCGTCTTTCTTCTCCGCATAATTCTGGCGGGGAAACGCGAGCGACGAGCCTGTGTTCTCGTCGGGAGGAGAAAGAGGAGGATTCGATGGAGCGAGCGCGCGCGCGTCGGGACTATTAAAATATCGAGGCCTGCGATTGAATGGAAGAGGAACGACCGATAACGGGCCGATGCAAATTATCGCGGAATACCCGCGCGAATATTTCCGACTCGTCGAACTTCACCCAGTTCCCGGGCTTTTGTTTCTTCTCCCGCGATCGTCGCGGCTGAAAAGGGGAGCGGCGGCGGCCAAGGAACCGGCCGGGACAAGAGGGTTAACTATTCTCGCGTTCCCCCGGGAGAAATACCTCGTGATCCGCCGGGACACATGCACACCCTTCTCGTCTCCATCTTTTCCTTCTTCTTCCCGCTCGGCCTTCTCTTCTTTCCTTCCGTCCATTTTCTCTTTTTGTCCCGTTCCTTTATTTCATCCATCATTGTCGTCTTCAGTCGTGGTTCCTTTCTATCTCCGTGTCATTCCTTTGAGTCTTTACCCTCTTACCATCCACCTTTCTCGCTTTCACGTTTACTACCGATCTTTCTTCCATTCAAATCCTTCTCTTCCTATTGTTCTCAAGAACGCCATTAATTCGGTAAGAATGGTATTTAAGCTACTGTGGTTTCTGTGTCATCTTTTCGAACGGTACTTTGATGGATCAATTATTTCTGTCATCGATAATCGCGCATGTTATAGTCTATTCTACATCGCATAGTGGATTCTATCAGTCTCAAATCCCAGTGCTACATCTGTGATACATCGGACATAGTGAAACCTTGCGGGTCAGAGGTATACTGCTCTAATTTCGTCGTAGCAAGGTTGAAACCACCGAAAGGACGAGGAACCTTGACAAAACAAGAGAACGAGAGACACAGACGAGCATCGGTTGGAGATCCGAACGAACGAGCGATTTCAGGCTCGAATTCAAGCGGGGATCGTCGAACGCCGATTGCGAACGAGGGTAATCGATAGTCCAATTAATTACCATGATTCCTCGTCGGCCGCCGACAAAGGGGATCGCAACGGCGCGGCTGAGCTCCTTCAATATTTATCGCGCGACGTCGAAATTAGCGCCGCGAATCGGGGATTCCGATGGCGAGCGAAAGGGCCAAGGAATTCCACGGCTCGCCCCGCGATTCCATCGGGCACGCCGCCCGGGACGTTTGATATGGAGATAAGTCGCCCCTTTGAGACGCAAAAGTCCATAAAACCGGAGCCCCGTACGCGCGTCCTTTTACCTCCGCTTTTCTATTAATGTATGAATATTTCAAGGGTGTTTCGCTAGGAACGAATCCAAGTCGATGATACGTATCGTTCGATGAATAATAGAAAGGGAAGAGGGCACAGATCATCGCCGATGAGCGTTGCAGCCGTTTGGCTGATGGATCGCGGACCTTTGCGAGGGGTCTCGTTCTTCGAGACTCGAGATTATTAACATTTGGCACTCCAGATGGTTTTGCAATCTATCAGCAACTGCGACTAATTCTTATAGTATCCCTATCGAAAATGGAAAATGCTATAACATTCTTTAGATCTTTTATTCTCCTTCTTAGTACGAAATTTGGACGTGTGAGAAATCTAATAAGTATAGGGTAGTTTCTTTAAGATTCATTCGAATATATAATATTATTCCTGGTGCAATATTGGAGCATAGAGTTCAAAGGGTTAACTGAGTCGATCAGAGAAATACGCTTAAATCGATTTGGTGATATCTCCTGATGTTTGTAAGTTTCAATGGAATAATTAATATTCTCTTTAGTTACTCAAGGATTCGCTCGGTTCGCTTTCTAGGTCAGAAAGCAGCTTCCAAATATGTTATACAATAGTTTCAGAAGTTAAAACATTAATTTTCTCAATTGTTAATCCGCGTTCTAAAGGAGCTTGCAACTTTTTCTCTGGATGTCACACTAACGAGTTGATTCTAACGAGACAACGATTCAATCGTGGACCAAAAGAGCACGCGAGATTCTTCATAGTTCCTAATAAATAAATAACGATAACTTATTCTATCCAACTCGGCTAGGAAAACATTCACAGGGCAAGGCTAGGTGAAACGATTCCATTCGACTCGGTTACGAAAGTATTCCCGACATAAGGGGTTAAACACGCGCGAAACTTGGAGCGAAAGCAGCCGCAGCCGAGATTATTATTCGCCCAAAAGTGTTGCAGCGTCTGGCAGACTCGATCCCATCGATCCGCGGATAAAGAATTCCGACACACGATTCGGCCGCGTTCCATCCCTCAAAGGATCAATTTCCGGGGGAGTTCGTACGCCGAGGAAATCCCTTTGGGAAAGCACCGCGCGGAATTCCATCCGGACGAAAGCACGGAAAGAAGGGTGGGGGCTGAATTTCGTTAGGACCGCGTTGCAGCTTGCGGGAACGTGTTCCGCAACGGCGCCGAAACACGAGAGACTTCCACGGGGCATTCCGCCTCGGATTCCGCGCGTCTTCCCCGCCGCGACACGCTCGACTCGGAAACCGTCGCGGGCACGAACGCCATTCCGCCGGGAACGGGGAAACGCTCGACCTCCGTCGAACGAAACAATGGGGCGGGATGCGAAATGGATCGCGATGAATATTTCAAGGGAGCTCGCATTCGACTTCGCTTCATTTGCTCCGCGCTTCGTGCGATTTATCTCGAAGATGGCATTCCGCGGGGAGTTTGTTCCATCGGAATCGACGAAAATCAGGGGATATCGATAAATCGACTTAACACGTCGAATGCCATGGGGGTCACCGGTGACCCCCAACCAAATCGGATTACTGTAGTTCATTCGATTAAGAGACGATTGTTTGGAAACATTTCTATATTATAAGTAACGCTACCTAGGGACATTCGGCTACATGAACGTGCAAGAATAATAATGCAATTCAATCGAATGGCTTAATAATATATTTTTCCCGTTTTGTGTATTTTGCTCTATGGAATCTTGTTTCAAAGACGTAGGTTAGGTTGGCAAGTTCTTTCCCACTTATCGTCGGCCGCCGTTGTTCATAAGATAATTAACCTATGTAAATGTAAGGGAAATTACTGAGCAAATAGGGTACTCACTTTGCGAATATCTTCTAAATTGTGAATTTCCGGCGAGAGGCCACCGTGCACGCAGAGGAACTGTTGGTTCATGAGGGCGGCAAGAGGCAGACAGTCAAAGGCGTCCATGCACGCGTCGTATACCCTCTCCGAGTATTTTATTTTACCTGAAATCAGAAGCGCCAGAGTTATTAGACAACCGAGCGTCCTCCCCACTTCCTCTAGAATCGTCCACATAATTTTTCTCGTCGTTCTTGCGATCACTCTAATTTCGCGTCGAGAAGAAACGACAGGAATACAGAGAATTATCATTACGTTCACCGACGTTTCCATATTTGGGTCAACTTCACCCGAGAACAAAACCACACGACGTAACACACAATGATCTCACAAAGGAAACTGCGATATGTATAAATAAAAGTCAGAACAACTGGCAATAAAAGAATGTAAACAATTTCCGTAATTTCCCTCGCCAAGTTTGAAATAGGTCAAAATGACTCGCCCAGTGAACCCTGTGTTAAAACCGTGGATTGGAAGTGGCGCTGTGTACCATACAGCAGGGGAGCGGAAAGAGAAACAGAGAAATTGTAGAACACAAGGCGAAGGAAGAGGGAGAAGTACCGAATAACGAAAACAGAGGAACACAGGAAAAGCTGTAGAATCCCACGAGAGAGACAGTGGAAGAAATATAGAACAAAGCAAGAAATATGGAACAATCCAGAGCATGGATCACAGAACAGAGGTTTCGAGAACATGAGGAACATGAAAAACACAGAAACGCAACGAAGCAAAGAATTTGTAGAAGCAAGGGGAAACAGATTTCGAGAACATGAAAAACAGAAGAAGCACAGAAACGCAACGAAGCAATGGAATTTGTAGAACCAAGGGAAAAGAGGTTTCCAGAACATGAGGAACAGAAGAAGCGCAGAGAAAGCACGAAGCAAAAGAACGTGTAGAAGCAGGGGAAACAGAGAAGAGACAAAGAAAGTCGGACACCGAGCTGGTGAGCTAGAAACGGAAAGAGAAGCGGAGAAAGAGGAAGAGCGACGTGGAAGAGGGAGAAAGGGGAAAGTTGGTGGGCGACAAGCTCCATCCGACCGGCTCCACGCTTTGTTTCTTTTATCGCGGTCCACGGTCGGCGAGCCGTCGTTCCCGGCGTTATTGCCCGCGAACAAAGCCGTCTTTCGGCGGGCTTTTTACTCGCTTCCGATGCCCGGGCTTCTCGCCCCGCGGCTCGCTGGCTCGGCCAATTTAGTTCCCGCGTCCCCGAGACAGCCGGCTGCCACGCTACGCGGGGATAATTCTCCTTAAACGCGATCCTCGATCGTTTTCCGCTCGGATGGGATTCCGGGGCTCGGTAACGCGACACCCGGCTACGACTGACGCCTGCCGATCCCTGGAAGAGGGTACATCCGAGCTGGATTATTCGTTTCGGCGGGACGAAGCTGATTTCACGCGAACATCGTTGGATCGTTGGCTGCCGGGAATTCTGGGGACTTTCCGTTTTCAATCGGTAGTGACGGAATCGTTTCCGAAACGAAGCATTTGCCGTACTTTAACGAGTTCGACTCGTGGTAAGAATTTTGGACCAAATATCGAGTGAAGACACGAGTGAGATATCGGTCGTCGTAATTATGGTCCAGATTAAATGGTATGCCAAGGGCTTAACCCTTGATAGAAGTCATTTGATCGTTTCCATCCCTATTGTAATATTTACAATTAACACGTTGAGTACTACGCTAGGTAATTTCTGTCAAGTTCTTTGTCCTTGTTATCTACGTTACGGTATTTCGCGGTAAGTCAACTCGAAATACGTCCGTTGAGAGTTATATTCGGCTTATTTTCTCCTGTAAAATTACTTCTCGATTCAACTGGAACCTCGCGAGTCCTCTATACACCGTGGAACATATATATTCCCTATGAAAATAGGAGCAATTTATCAAAGACCGCTGAATAGTGCAGCGTTTCATAGGAAATACGAAGAAATTCTTCCGTGCAGTTTATTGAACCGATTCCTCCATTTATTACCGTGGAAAGCGCTTTAAAGGGCCATAAAAGAAATGAAGACATCAAACAGATCACCTGTATATATTATTAAAAAAAATCTCGTCGCGGACGGTTACGGGGATCAAAGAAATGGTCGGTGTCCTTTCCGGCGGCTATACGGAGGGCGGAGAATGGATAAAGGGGTGGAAAAGGACTCCGGAGGGCCATGAAGAAGCGCTGCGAGGCAGACCGTCAGGAATAGTGACCGTGTACGCGCGAGAGCCTCGTAAAAAGAACGGGGAATGCCGGGATCATTTCGCGTGCGTGGCCCGTGTCCGCCGAGAATAATAAATCCCTCTATCGAGGAATGCTTCGTCCGGAAAAAAGGAAGAAGCGGGCCTGAAAAGAGACGAGAACGGAGGGAGAAAGAGAGAGAGAGGGGAAAAAATAAAAACACGGTCTCTGCGAAACGGAGAACCATCCCCTTCGCTCGTTCCGTGAAATACGAGCGTTCGCTGTCGCGCGGTACGAGCAGTAGAATTTTTCCTTGCCGTTTTATCGATGGAAAATGCATTACTCGGTCATCCAGTCGAGGGCAACGCGGAGAAACAGGTGATTGTATCGAAGATTTCAGGATTTTCCATGTCGAAGGTGATCTTTATTTTCCGCTGGCTTCTCCATCGCGCAGGAAACGCAACGGCGGGTTTATAATGGATAATCTGTCTGATCGTTGCTCGCTGTTTCTACTTACTAGATACTCCTACGAGATACCGTTATCCGTTGATTTGGATTGTACGAAATTTCAGGGGTATCTGGGATCTTTGCGAGAGGTCTGGTAGCTGAATTATTGTGATGTATAATCATTAATTTGATTAGTATACGAATAGTCATTATAATTTCCATCTGCAATCCTCGTAGACCGTTAACGCAATTGCTGTATCAATATCAAACGATTCGAAATTGGATGAAATTTGACGCACAACCGGAAACACGCGTAAACGCGATTCATTATCCGTAACTCAATTATAACGTGCCTAATAACGTATCGATAAACACGAAGGTACGCTCGCCGAGGTTGCGGCGCTTAACATCTGCGTCGCTCAGAAGCCAACGTGGCGAAGTCGATTTTTACTTCTCTAATTTTTCAAATCTCAACGGAATAAATAATATATTTTCTACTTAATAAAGGACCCACTCTTCGTTGTTTCTAAATCATAAAGCCTTATAGCTTCCGAAACATATTCTTACTCTCATATATTCCGAACTTACAACACGTTGCATAATCATTTCAGAAGCCAAAGCACGAATTCTCTAAACTTTTCTTCCCCAGACTGAACCGCATTAGCTTCTGGCTCATTTATCGCCACCGGTAACCGCATAAAGCGAGCGGGCAGAAGTATTCGGGCCGCGGAATCGCGCGGCATTTAGAAAATCTCGAGTCGATCCGTTGCCATGAATTCGTGCCGTGTCGGGGACACTCGAATGCGCTTTGGAAGAGTCGGCGAAATGCTTTTCCATTCGCGGATCAGTCGCAGACTTCCGTGACAAACAGGACGCCACGCTCGTCGCCGGCCGCAGAAAAGAAACCCGTCGGGTTTCTTGCCTCGGTCGCGGGCATTGCTATCGACACGGTAAAAATCGCCCGGCATTTCTCAACCGGAGTCCAAGCGGACGTGGAATAGTGTCCGGACGGTTGTCCGGGGAACAAAGTCGGGATCGTTCGATAGGTTTCCCCGGAGGAAACGAATCGTCCGCGGGACATGCGCAAATACCGCTGTCGTGTCCCTTCTCCCGCGTGTTTCTTCGATTCCTCTTTTCCCGCGGCTTCGATTCTTGCCCGGTTTCATTTTGCGAGACTCTAACTGTACGAGGATCGTCGAACTTTAACCGGAATCCTGTTCGTCTTCGCGTGGATTCGGGAAGTTAGGTGGATAGGGCTTTCGCCGGAGGATAGGGCTCTCGCCGAGCTCGATAGGATTTTCGTGGGATTTCCAAGGTTTTTATTGGTTCGCTAGGGACTTCGATAGAGGATACGGCTATTTTGGACTTGTTAGGACGCTGATAGAGTTGCTGGGACATTCACGAGATCGCTAGGGCTTTCGCCGAGCTCCGATCGTTCGGAATTTCCGTCGAATTTCTTCGTGTCCTGACAATCCTGATCTATATCCGATTTCCTTTCAAATCCCTATGAATCTTTACTGTCGATTAGTTAGTTGGTCCCTATAAACAATCAGAAACTCGCTAAACAAGTCTACAGTTGGGAGAATCATTCGGCGTATCTCGAGGGAATCTTATCTCGATCGTCGAGTGGGCAAGCTGGAATGACAAAGTGTTGTTTGCCGTGGCGGCCATCGAGCTACAGCCCTCGGACTTCCGAGCAACGGCGAGCAAGAAGAATTTCCTGTCAATAAAACGCGGGCACGCTGGTCGAGCAGCCCGAAGATTCGCCCGACGGACAGATTGCCGGTCGAACCTGTCACCTCGAGACCTCTCGGGAGAACATGCGCCTCGACCTTGCTTGGAAGGTTTCCTAATGCTTCGCTGAACTTTTCGAGCCAGCGTGCCTTTGCAATTAATAAACACCGGGGCCGGCCTCTCGGCTCTTTAATAAAGGCACCGGGAACGCGTCTAAGACGGCGGCCAAGGGATTTTTCGCGTAGCTTCGTTTCTCCTCTGTCAACAGAAAGTTTCCGGAACACATAATCCCATTACAAAGGACTAACGAAAGCCTCTGTGCCTCGGCTGGCGAGCAATTGCCGCGCGCTCCGTTAAAAAATCCACCTTCAAGCGGTTGATTAATATTCAAAGAAACTCGAAAGCGCGGGACTCGGCCTCTCGGCGGAGGAAATTCCTTCCAGCACGCGTTACAATGGCTTCGCGCGGCTCGCGTTCCAACGATTCGAATAACTACCCGGTCTAATCGACGTTTAAAACCTGACAACAGAATTATCCCGGGACAAAGGGATTTAACTTCTTTCAGCGAAGAGAAAGGAACTTCTATCAAGTAATTTCTTCGAAACAATACTCTTCCCGCGATGCCCGAGGAAATATGTATTTCCAAATGGCGAACAATTTCTCCCGCGAAGCGGTCGCCGTATTTCACCGGTTCCGCGGGAACCGAGGAAGCGCGCGTTCCGAAATGATTAACAATTTTTCCCGCAAAGTGGTGTCTATTTCACGGTGGAACTCGCGCGGCGGCGGCGGCGGCGGAGGAGGACCAAAGCGGATACGGAGGTTCGCCGCGTTATTTATCGCGGACGCGCTTCACCGGGGTTCTCGTGTTTCGACGAAACCGTCTCGAATCTCGGTGCTCGGGCTCGGTTTCGCGGCCGCCGCGGCATCAAGCACCGGGCACGCATTATTCGTAGGACTCCTGGCAAGCCTGGGGAGCCGCTGGCCGCCGGCCAGAGGGTCAGCGTGTCGCTGCGGAGCGACACGGCTCGCCAAAAACGATTGTTCCCGACGCGGCTCGCCTCGCCCGGCGAAAAACATCGGCCGCGAAACGAGGGAGGATTAATCGATCGCCAGCCGAAACCGAAAGCCGGCGCCTCCCTCGCTTCCTCTTTCGGACCAAGGAATCGGCTTCTTTCTGCGGAGTTTCTCGCTCGTTGCGCGAACGTTGCGCGAATAAACGTTCGATTAGACATTCGAGGGACCGTGGTTCATTGGGAACACGCTTGAGCTTAGCAATAATTCAACGGAAGCGTGGAACCGGTTTCATGACTTCCGATTACTAATAGGAATAGTAGACTTGTATGTATAGATTCACTGTGATATCAAAATTGAGATAATCAGCAAACAGATGCGAAGAACAGGTCAACGCTGGATTGCAACTTCACTTATTTCGATTTTTTAAGCATTCTCCAATAAACCTTCGCGTTGATTTCGGTACTTTTGAAGCTACGAATTCCAAGATTGAAATAAGCGAACGTCAATTCTAGGATCAATAGCCTCTTCCTCTAAGAAGCAGGGAAAATCGAGATTCCTCGGTACACCCATGTAGAGAGATCTAAACACACTTTTCTAGCTATAGATCCGAAGCATTCCGCAGGGGATGACGGTTCGGAGCCAGACGAACGGAAACGACGTTGGAATCATGAGCGTAAGGTCGCGGTGGGCGCGCGCCGGGTTAACGGCAGCCTCGTAAATACACGCGGCTTGACCCAGTATCGGAGAATTTTCCAGGATCGATACGGTTTTCCGCGGGGCCGGCTCGACTGCGCCACGCAGACCTCCTCGAGATATCGGCGATTCGAGCGCGGACCCTCCGGGACCCCGGATCTGGATGGAATTCCTGGCCAAGTCGGTCCACTCGATCGGGGGAACCCCTTTCAGCCTTGCCAGAACCGTTTGCGGATCGAACATCTGCGACTCGATTCCGGGCACGCGTTATTTCACTCTAATATTGGCAACCGGGCACTCGAGTACTCATTCCGAAACCCTCGTCTATATAATTTCCTACTGTCCCAAGGAAAATCTACCGGAAGCGCTTCGAATCTCTACTTTTTGCAGATTTTCATACCGAGTTTTAAAACAGACGCTTAAATCCAATTCGTTCAATTTGGAATTTCTAAAGGTTCTCTAACGTTAATATCTAAGTATTCGATCGGCTCTTTATATACTCGATTTTATCATTTCCACCTCATCGAGGTGGAATTTTCATATTTGGAAGACCAAGTTGACAAATGAATTACTCAAACAGATCAGTACGTAGATTCTTTTTCTATTATCCAAGCAACTGATATATAATTGAACTCTGTCTGAAGGTTTGTATTTCAAAGATCGTGAAGGGTGAATCTAGTTCTACGAAATTCGCGTACGTTTTGCAAAGTTAATCGCAGAACGAACAGTACTCTCTTTTCTATGAAGCGAAACGTTAAGGGCTTGCACGAATGAAAGCACGCACGTATAAACAGTACGCGACGAAACGCAGCCTCTTTCGGGCTAACGCGTCCCGGCGCGCATTAATCGACGATAAAGAGGTGGCCCGTTAAACCGAGACGACGAGTGTCCGCGCCATAATTCGTCCTCCCTCGAGCGTGAAATCGGGCTAAGTGTAAACTCGATTGTAAATTGGGATCGCCGTAGGGACGCAATTAAAATCCTCGTCCCCTTTGACGGCGGCCGGGACCAGCGGCGTTCCTCCGAGTGCCGGGATTAATGATTGAAAATGCGACGGCCGGCTGTGCTGGACACCGTGTTACGCGAATTATTCAAACGTACCGAGCGCCGGCTCCCGATTCGACCGCCAGACATCTTCGCAAGGCTGTTAGCGCCGAGTAGACGACAGATCGCGAGCGAATATTAATATGTTCAGTGACGTATATTTCAGTGGCGATCTTCAATATTATCTTATCTTCTTTACGAAACGAAAATCAAATTGATACACTGGACGGTACGATTTTAACACACGTGGATGTAGTCTAATTTTCTTTGAGATACGAAACGTTGAAAGTTAGAAATGGGTGATCAATCAATATTTGACTTTATTAAATTATATTTGCCGTTGATAATTCAATATTGCTCGACGGAATATTAAGTCTCGTTAAATCCTCTGTTCTGATACTTCGCTGCTTTAACAGAAATACAAGTATCGGAACAGAGGATTTAAGACTTAATATTCCGTCGAGCAATATTGAGTTATCAACGGCAAATATAATTTAATAAAGTCAAATACTCGATGCTCGATATTTATCGAAGGGAAACATTATATTGCAGTCGTCAATATTGAATTTTCATAGTACTCGGATTTCTATAATGAACGGCTAGCTATCTGCGCAGCAATAGTAACACGGATATACATTTTTGTAGTCAGTATACGAGAGAAAAGTAAGTAACGAGCAATGCTTGCCGATCGAATCGCCAAATAAAGTCGAACTACAAATAATTAACGTGCGTTTCCATTCGATTCGGTCCTCGACGGAGCGTTCAATAGGAAAGCTAAATTCCAGCCGGGAGTCAACATTCGAAAAATCCGCAGTCCACTCGCGACGCGACGGAATAATCAGCCCGGGACAGACTTCCAATCCGGCTCGAGTGTACGCGAAATATTGAACACGAGCTCGGAACTCCGAACATTCCGCGGGAATTCCGCGCTGTCCCATTTCTCGGCGCGGCCGGGACACCGAGGAGAACACGGCAGTCTGGAAATTTTGCGCTTCGAGTCGCCGAAAAGTAGCGGGCCATCGGAAATCGATGGAAGTTCATTGTTTGCCGGCGGAAAAAAAGCCGTGGAACGTCGCCGCATGGGAATTTTATTAAAATATCACGACCGCTGCTCGCATTAACTTCTTATATGGTAAATCGTCCGATAAACTCGGGCCGCGGTGCTTTGTTCGATACAAACGAAGTTTCACGAATTAATTCGCCAATTAACAGATCCAACTGTGCTGCGTCTTACGATTTTGATTTCTCTAATTAAACTAGGCATGCAGCTGAAAGTTCATTCGTGTTAATCATCGTTCGGATAAGTAACAGTTGAACGAGACGAATGCTTGAAATTCCGAACCGAGCAGATTTTCGAGGCAACGATGGGATCGCAAGCCGGAGAAAAAGTGTGCGATCCTCCGGGGAAATGTATCGGAGCTGGTAACGGCGCAAGCTACTTACACTCTTGCTTAAATGTGAAGTATTCCGTGAGATGACGGCACTCGTGGTTACCTCTGAGGAGGAACAGTGTGTTTGGATGGCACAGTTTCAGCGCCCACAGGTACAATACGCACTGCAACAGAGAAACACGGTCGCTTTGTTTAGTATTTTCAATCGTGGAACGCCGGGGACACGGCTGAAAAATAGGGGAGCACGTATCCTTGCGAGATTCTACGGAGGACCCGAAGCGATAACTTCGTTATTTTAAACGGTGCTCCGGCAAACGAGGTTACCTTTAACAGAATAAAAACTCCATTCCGCGACCGGGCTAAAGAAAAACACAGCTCGCTCGCGGCGGAAACCTGATTAATCTATTTCCAATAAAAGTCGCGCGAACTTGCGACAAACGCGATTCTGAAATTTCCACGGGCCACCGGAGACCGGTCCGTTCCCGTGCCCGATATTTCCAGTGTCAAGAGGAGTACCCTTTGTCGCGGCAAATGGAATAAACAATCAGAAACGCCGGCTGCAGAGAAATCCGCCGTTTATGAGCCTTATCGCGGAAACGTGGCGCGATACGCGGCCCGGTCCTTTTTCCCTGCCGGGAAATTCGCCTTTTTATAGATTTCCGCGCGGCGAAACCGAACGCGCGCGAGTTACCGTTACGGCGAATCGGTGTCCGCATTGTTTGTCCGCTCGGTCTCGCTGCTCTCGTCGCCTGTAATTTATTCGCGCGTCGTCTGGAGAATAAAATCCTCTCGTGAACCTCGACGTCGGGCGCGAGTGTTGAATGGCTGTTTTTGTCAACGAGACCGTTAGACAATTGCGAGTTTCAACGAGACTCTCGACTGAGTCTGATCGTTGGTCGTTCAGTTGTATCGCATTTCGTTACACGTGTCGTTTGGCGTTCGACTTCAATCTATAACGACGCAACGAGCTCCAAATTCTGTCGACTAATAATAGCAGACGCCTAGTTCATTCGTTCTGTTAGGATGGAGATAATAAATGCTAATAAGAGATCGAGGTACTGATAGCGTGTTTAACAATAGACCTAGCGTTACGATAGAATTATAATATTCCCCTATGGAAATCGCAACGGAGGGAACGTACGATCTTTCCTCCGCGAGATCCGGGCATCGTACTTAACATACATCACTGTCGTCCCCGCGATACCGCGGCGCGGTTAATTAATGGCAGCTGCCGGCCGAGACGACAGAATCAACGAAACTGGCGTGCATCGTCGCGGGACAAAGGCGTCCACGTTTCAACGCGATCGGACGTCGCGCGATTAATCTTCTCGCCCGCCGCGAGACGCACCGTTCGAAATATGTCCTCTGTTTGCGACCCCCTTCAACGGAGCTGACGATCTTGGCAGGGCGAAGCCGAATTCCGTCGTGACTCGACCAATTTCCTCGCGATTTTCAGAAAATCTCGCGTCCAAGGTTTCCGCGTTCGTTCGTCACGAAATCGGCGTGCAACCTGTTAGACGCAAGAGGATCGAGTCAAACGCTACGATCAATCAAAACTTCTCCAATTTCTCTCTCGCGAACACTGAATCCGCCGAGGCGTACCGCCGGCGGTTCTAAATTTTCCTATAAATTATAGCCAGAAACCAATTGTACGTTACAATCTTGCGAAATTTGTAGCCAGCCGAACGGATCAGCCTTCCAACGCGTTCAGACTGAAGGCTGAATAACGGGCAACGCGGTTTCCCAAGAACCGCTGTCATCCGTCGCATTTATATTCCCCGACGTTTCAACGCGGGCACAATTGTTGGCTCGCTTTTAATTTCCACGCGTAATTATGTATTAAGAAGCGCGGGGACGACGCGGAACAAATACGCGGCGACGATCTGTTCGCGAAAAGTGCGCAGTCGGGGCGCACGGCGGTAAACAATCGTTGGAAAGTTGGCCGCGGCCGTCGAATCGATATTGAATGGGAGACGAGCAGGTGGTAGGGAGAGAGGCTCGCATCTTTTATTCATTGTATGTACATTAACGGTTTGTTTCGAATGCGGGGCTATCACGTGTGCGGTATTAATGCGCGTAAGTGGCCGCGAACGCGATGCGGCAGCGAGAAACACCGCCATTGTTCCCCCCTCGCTCCGCTGCCGTCGCCTCTGTGGGAACGTATTCGTTTTATTGGCCGCTGGACGATCGCGTTCGGTGAATTACTGTAATTCCAACGGTCAGAACCTTGCTCTTCCTTTATCTGTCTTGCTTAAGAAGATCTCCTGGCGTTGTCAGCCGCGGTTGACCCTTTGCACTCGAAAGTTCTCCGTTGGAAACGTTCGACGCTTTTCGATGACGCGTAGACGACGTGGTTTAAGAACTAATTTTACTCTAGATTCATGGAACCCGTGAACTTGACGGATACTGAATCTTTTAAACATTATTTGCCGACAGTTTCAGCTGACTTTGATCTTGAAATACTAATTTCAGCGATCTAAACAAACATGTAGTCTCCTAGGAACGATAGAATAAAGTGAAGGACAAGTATCCGTAAATCTAGCGTGAAAAAACCCTTTGTAATCGAAAGTTCTGAATATATCTATCGTTTCCTAATGAAACACCAATGAAATCGTCAATGGTATTAAGCCGAAATAACATACGATGGGTGGGAACGATTTCATTTCGATATTCAACAACAAAATCCCCGGAATCGGCCACGTCGGTCCAATCAACGAACACACCCGAAAACAATCATACCGAAACAGACGGAAAAGATCATCCCAATTCGGTGATCAAACCAAACGGAGCAACGAACGCCGACTCGTTTAACCAGTCCCGCGCGTCTTTGTCCGTCCAGGAGACGAACAACAGCGCCCGGAAGCCACAGTCGGCCCGATTGTCCCCGAACGGCTCGGTTGATTAATAGAAATCTGAAAGCTGATGGCCGGCCGTGCCAGCCATTGTCCGTTTGCGCCGGGATTATGCACGCGCGGCTCGGTTATCCGCGTCTCTATTACGCGTTATCGCCGGCTGGCCGTCGCGCGATAGTCCATTTACGTTTTATTGGCCGGCGGCCGATTGTTTCGCGCACCTGTTCACCTGTCCGCGAGGAATTTCCGGGAGCGGGGGGCGGGGGGCGAGCGACCGGACGGTCGTTCGGGGCCAAGAGTCACGGTGCCGCTTAGCCGCGGCTGATTTATCGTCTTGGCAGACCGGTCGTCGCGTCGTCCGCCATCATCATCGTGGGTGGCGTTAGTCATCGCGCCAGATTCTCGCCGGACGAGCGGGGCTCATTTGTTTTAATTAAAAATTCAGCCGACGCGGCCGACAGACACTCCGTCTCCGAGGCCTGTGGGCGTGGTCAATTAGCGGCCGAGCAATTAACGCAGCCGAATCGCCGTGGAAAAGTTCCCCGATCGAGCGGAGCGCGCGACCGATCGACGGTCGTCGCGGGCTTCTTCGATCCAGCCTCATTAGGGGCTGCAGAGCTGGCTGCGCTTGGTTCAAGGTTCCGCTTTTTTTACCTTCGGCGTCGCTAAAATTAACGCTGCGATCGGTGCGAATACAGGGACGCGAGTTGCTTGGATGGAAAAGGGAGAAATTGTCAAGTGATTCGACAGACGAATTATATTTGTAGTTTTCGTAGCTTTTGAAACGAATTCACAGCGTTAAGTATTTATTTGTTGAACTAAGAAGTTGGGATGACGGTTAGAGGAATCGGAGATAAGGAATATGACGTGAAACTATCGCATCTGTTCTACGCGCGAGATTAATCAATTGGATAGGGAAACAATGGAAAGTTTTACGAATCCAGGAACACACGATCGATTACGAACACCACATAGATTATTTTATTTTCGTTGCTCGTTCGCGGCTGTTATTTAGCCGGCAATGTTGTCATCGATTTAGTTGCTGCGGCCCGATCAAACAGTTTCGGCCATCGCGTCGGTTCGAAAGACAAACTAATATCGGAAGAGTTGCGAGCAGCTCCGGCCCGGCGTGGTATCCGGTTACACCACGGTGACATTTAGCGGAATTGTTTAACGTGCCTCGAATATCGGCGAGAAACTAATCGCGTACGCGCAAGTTTGTTCAGAAACGTCGAGTTCCGCGCGTGTTTGCGATGAGTGGCCCGTGTGTGCGCAACGTGACAGTCACGTGAGCCGCGGCCCCCCAGCGATTGCGTTCCCGACGTGATGTTTGAACGCTCCCGACGACCGGCGAGCTCGTTTTCCGCGCGCCGATCGAAGGGAACGCTGGGCATCGTTGTCGTCGGCTGTCTTTGCGACGAACAAGCGCGGCGAGGATCGCCGGAGGCGAGAAGGCGACGATCAACGGCGATTTTCGAAGTCGATGGAGATGGAACCGCTGGCGAAACGCGATAACGATCATTCGAAGGGGGCAGGGAAGCTTGCGGACCACCGCAGAAGCCGGTTAAGGGAAAGTGTGCGCGGAACTGATCGGGATAGATAGACAACGGTACCCTTGCAAGGGAACACCGACCAGAGAACAGTATCGGGAGAGCAATTCCCATAAACTTCTATTCCCCTTTTACGCTGCTTCTCTCATCCTCTCGGAACGCCGGGATCACGAGCACGGATCTAAACCCTCCGAATAGTAGGCCCCGTTGGTGGAGAATCAAATGGTTCCCTCGCGTCCCGATAATCGCATCATCGTTTCCGACGGATTATTCCGCGGTCGAATATCGCTAAAAACGAGCCGGAAACAATGTGTATTTTCTTGAGGGGGCTTTCGAAGCCTCCACGGAACACCCGGAAATAAGGTTTACGAGGACACACACGCGCGACGAACCCCTTGGACTCACGAAATGCCTCCAATTTATTTCCCCCGTCCCTGCCCGTACGTCATATAACCCCGTTTCCTCGATTCAATCCATTTTTTCCCTCACTTTTACCCTACGTCACGTTCCGGGGATCTTTTTGTTCCGGCTAATATTACTGATTACGCTGCGGTTTTTTTATCCCAATTAATTTCCTGCTCTCCAGTGAAAAGAACCTCCCTTGTTTGTTTCATCATCTCACATACTAACCAATTTTTTCAACTGGTACCCCTTTCATTAATTTTTTCTGGGTTATCCAATTTTCCTTTGAATGATTTCCCCTGCTTTTTCCGACTCGAATGCGGATTTCCCTTCAATTCCTCCTCCTCGATCAAATGTGATTTCTTGAACCCTTCCGATGTCCCAAGAGACAAGTGGCACTCCGCAGAGGTACGTATACATGGAGCTCTACCCACCGCCCTCGAAATTATCGAACCCAAAGTGTACTTCAAAGTTCACTCCTACAGGGCGGTAAGAACCCAATTTACTTCACTTCCACAAACATAGAAACCCGATGGATTCATCATCATCATCTCCCATTGCCTTGGTATTACGTTTACTCCGGAACCTTAAGTACCTTCGAACTTCGGAACACACCTGAGTACCACAAGTAATAACACAGATTCCCGTCACCTACAAATCACCTAAGACGCGAGAAGAGAGGAAGAAATCTGTAAGAGAAACCCAATTTAAGGTTCAAGTCTAAATAATACAACCCCAAAAATCCCACAAAACCAGCTCTAAATTTCCCGAAAAAGGTCCTCAAGTAGAATTTAATTAAACCACAAGGTAACGTAAAAAAATCCTCACGGGCACCCATCCTAAACAACAGTATATACCGAAAATGTGTATGGCCGCTTAACGCGGATTACCGAAGAGCCAGCCGTCCCTCTCTCTCCGCTAAAACCCCTGACATGTAACTGCACCACGTTTCTCGTATACAAACAAGTAGCCGACGGTTGTAACAACTCAAAAAGTTCTACGGAAGCAGAAAGAACAATTTTCCGGCTAGAGTTAAAACGTTCCCGTTATTTTCCCAGTCGATTCTACCGTTTCCTATCGTTCCGCCGTTCGGTCGCCGATGTTTGTAATCTAAACATTCCGCTCGGGCTCTCCGTTTCCCGCCGCAATTCGCTCATAATCCCATCTACCCAGCCCTCCGTCCTCTTCGGTTCTTCAGGATTCAGTCCTCCGCTTCCGTTTTCCTCGCGAAATGAAAATCCTCGCGGAATGCGTGCACGTACCGCCAAGAAATCCCAGCGACTACTCTCTTTCCGATTCTCTTTCCTCCTTAACTCTCTTTATCTCTCAACCACTCTGCTTTCTCCTCTCTTTTCCTCTGAACACTCTCTTCGTCCTCTCTGGTTTCTCTTCCACTGATCTCCTCTCTCTTTTTCTTTTCCTTAGCCTTGTACTCCTGTTTTCCTTGTCTCGTAGCCAGCCTCCGGTCGCTGGCTCTCTATCTCCATCGTTCCAGGGACCGGGCTCGAAGAATCCGGCGAAGCATATTGCGGATAGAGAGTATCGATCGCTCGCAGCAGCCCGGCCGGCTCTCTCTTTCCTTCGTCCGGCGCGCGAGGAGACTCGGTACGCGCGTACGGATCATCTCGAAACGCCCGGTAAACTCCTTTCGATCCGTGAACGGCGCGCCGCGGCCTTTTCGAGAGTGTTCATTCGCGAGAACGCCCTTTCACGTCTCTGGGAAACCGATTCAACTGGGAATCGGTCTTTTAGCTTGGGCGCCGGGATTTTTCTTCGCCGGATGAAAGAGGCCATTCCTTGACTCCGACATTATTTATTGGACACCCTTTATGTCGGCTATACGTAGAAATGTTTTTGAAAGGATTGGAGGAGGTCGAGCGCAAAGGGAAACGTCTTGCGACAGTATTTTCTGTCCTCTCCGGCCTGGCGGTTTTGAATCTCGAAAGAATAATATGTTCCCTTATTTTTTAAACGGTTTCGTCTGTGTAACGTAACGTTTCTAGAATTTTCTATAATTTCTTTGAAGTTTAATAGCGCTCAGTGGTGAAAGGAAATTACGCGCATAGGTGTCGGCGCGTTTTCCGTTGCATATCTGTCGCTTCAACGCAATCCGACGTTTATTTAATACACCCCGTACAAACTGGGACACGCGTCGAACCTCAAAGATTCGCAGACGTTCAGAGAAGTTCGGGAGCTTCCCACGGGGATCCGAGCTGCAAAGGTTCGCTGGCGGCGCAAAATAAACGGGGAGCATATTAATTGATGATTAACCGAGAGGATCGCTAATTAGTAGGCTCGGTAATTAGGCGGGCTCGGGATTCTCCGCTCTAGACGATCTCTCGCTTCGACTCGCGCGTACTCTGCGCCTTCGGATCGCGCTTTGGATTTTTACAGCGCGGCGAGAGCTGCTTTTCTAAGGAAACACCGAATACTCTTCGAAAATGTCGAACCTCTTTTTCAGTTGAAATACTCGACCGTCTCGCGTATCGAAAACGACGCGGTCCCGATTTTCCTCCGATCGTTGGACTGTTCGTTAGACGATCGATTGATGAAACAAGGGAATTTGTACTCACTTCGATACTGAAATAACCCCTGTCCACGTAATCGCCCAGGAAGAGATACTTCGTCGAGGAGGGTGGTCCGCCCACCTCGAATAACTTCATCAGGTCGTAGAACTGGCCGTGAATATCCCCGCACACTGTAACAGAGAGAGAAACGTAGCTGTTAACGACACATGTGCGTATCACAGTCGATCGACTTGCCGCATGCGTTAGCTTGATTGAGAATTAACGAACGACGAAGACCGCAAGACGGCTTGCAGTAGACGAGTTCGGGAATTCTTCGATTTCTATCCAGCACCTCTGAATTTCTGTCCAGTTGCGTTCGCGATCGAAATCAGCTCAATAATCTCTTCTAATTTTTCAACATGAACGAAAGGAATTGTCACTCGAGGAATTATATTTTAATTAAATACTTCCTTTTAACCCTAGATGACTAAACATTCATTTGAATAGTCAACTGAACCACTGTCGCCAGTTTTTAATTGGGGAGCACACTTTTATGATACGCCAAGATTGCGAACGTTACTTTCGAACGCTTTAATACTTTTCCATTAAATACTAGTAACATTCATCTTATATTTTGCTACCTTGCTCGAAGCAAATAGAAATATCAAGATATACGCTTTCAATTTGCAGTCTACGAGTCGAATGTTCAGTCACAGAGCGACACCGATTTAAGTTCAGTTATCCAGAGTTAAAACAACCCCGCCGACGAACACCAAGGAAGCCTCCGACATGCTTCGAAGAAGATTTCCAAGCGATTCAAGGTCGGCCCCGCGAAATTAGCCGCGCCGATTAATCGTGCGCGATTAATAGGAGAGCTGCGTCGAACGCGAACACGCGTATACGGCCCTCGAGACTCGGTAAACTTGTTTGCAAACGTTTCCAAGTGAAATTACGCTTTCGTGTCGTCTGAAGCGACGCCGGCGGGCCGAGGGGGAGACGCCGGGAAGCCCCGGCTGCGAAAACTTTCCTCGAAAACGGTCGTCGAGCGTTATTCAGGAAACTTCGATCGAGTTACCTTCCCTCGCATTCGCGCCGGCCGTCTCCCCTCGACGAGAAGAAAATGTTCCGCTGCTATCTGCGCCGTTTTCGTACATGTGTACCGTCGCGGATGGCGTACAGGGTGCTCCTAAAGTCCTAGCGCGATGGGTCAAGTTTTTGCGGGAGAAAAGTTTGTATCGCGATTGAAGATTGAGAAAAAATGAGGAAAAGATAACGAGTAGAAATTATTATGTAGATATTTAATAATTATCAGTAAGATATTAGATAGCTGCCTTAATACTTTGCCACGTCACCCGAATTCGAGTGATACCGTTATTTACTTAAACATTAATTTCCTTAGTGACAAAACGAAGAACCTCGACTTTCTGGTTTCAGCTTTATTAAGAGAATGATTTCGATCGCGTAAGAGTTTCGACGAGTGTTTACTTGGCAGTGAAAGTGTTAAGCGAACGAACGGAAAAGGAAGAAGAATACAGGGATGAAAACTGTTGCCGCAGCAAAGCGTCGCGCATCCGCGGCCGAGTCGAATCGACGCCGCTCGTTCGGCAAATAATTAATAAACGGAAAAAGGAAAAAGAACGGGGAAACACCGAGGCGATAAGTGAACGAGGGAACCGTTCGACGGGACTGGTAGTGCGACTATCGATCGATCGCGGAAGACGATAAACAAAGGGAAATAATGTCCGTGGCCGGTCCGGCCCGGGCGAAAAGCAGATATATCGGATGCCGATGGAGCGTTAATTGGACGCGACGGTGTGCCACGCGTCCCTCGCTCGCAACTGTCATCGATATTCCGCGTTTTCCGACGGTGAAACGCTCGCGCTTGTCCCGGGATCGGGGAAACTAGATGCAGCAACGGTTCCGCGACCATTTTAACGCTTAGGACGCTTCCAACGCTATCCAGCTGACACTGGAACTGCGTACCAGGCAAAATTACCGATTTCAATCTTCTTATTTCGCAGTCATTGGTACCTTGAAACTATCAAATATCCGAAGGAACTTTGAAGTCGAATATATTCGTTTGAATACCGTGAATATCTGTAAGGTAAAGAAAATCTATCACAGTTTTCACAAAGATTACATATCAATTATATCGAATGCGAGTAGTTCAAGATTGCTCAATTTTGTCAGAACAAACAAGAAGCAATACAGGTGCGAAACCGCAGCTATCGATTGACGAATTCATTAGCATTAAATGTTTTTCTTATTACTCCGGAATTATCCCCGTGCCACTTGATACAAGCCTTTTTATTTAATCTACAGTTTCCCAGCAATTTTCCTTGCAAATTCCGCCACGCGGGATCGTTAAACGCGAATCGTCGGATGCACGAAACGCGACTGCGGCACGCAACGCGGCGAGTTCGATCCGACGCGAATCCGGCTTCTCAAATATTTGCGCGTCCGCCCCCGTTCCCCGCGCCGAGGACACACGCGTCGATTTAAATGTCGCCGTTCGTATCGTTTCCCATCGGTCCGCGGATACTTTGCATAATTCAGCAACAAGTGGCAACTTCCGGCTCGCGCGGATCCGAGGATCGGGTTTTATCGGGGGGAAACGCAGAGCCGGGCTTTTTCAGGGGCTCGCCGTCTGACCACACACGGGCCGCGACTACTGGCGCGGCCGGGCAGAGAATTCGAACGATTTCCCGGGCTCGACGCGGCGGAAGCGTATTCTCGCTTCGCGGAACCGAGGCGCCGGCAAAAGAACCTCGGGAAAGGGAAATTCTCGAACGAGAGCTATCCTGGGTAAATTGTGATTAACAAGAAAGCCAATTTCCAGTTTCCTTTATTCCCTTGGTTATTCTTAAGCGAAGGAAGTATCATTTTTAAATAGAAAATGTTTCTGTTTGAAATTATATCACGTTGTTCTACAAATTACGATCTTTTATAGGAGAATATCGGAGAATTTTCACTGCAGGTTCTCGAAGTTTATTGAATGTAGTTTAGAGAGAATATTGAATTCAAATAACAGTGAAATAATGATAAGAAAAAGCGAGAAGATCGTGGAAATATTCAAGCATTACGCAACGAAACGCTATCCTTTCGTACGAGAAACTTTATTTTAGCTAATGCCGGTATTAACCCAGACCCGGATCGATAGTGGCGACCGGTTTCCGGTTGGTCAGCTTTTTCTCGCGGTAAAATTGATAGATCATTCCTTTTTCTAGCCGGGACTCGGACTCTGGAGAATTTCCGGCGCTTTCTCGCGATCAAATCGAATTTCCTTTTATTCGTTTTTCCCCTCGCGCTCGCTGGAAATCGAAGCGGCCGATTCTCCAAGGAGGAGACTCTATTTCTGGACACCCGTTACCGAGTTCTTGCTTTCGCGGAGATTTCCCTTTGTAAACGATCCCACAAAGGCTGCCCGGCGATTCCAGCGGCGGGCGACGGTTCGAATTTATAGCCGGCGAAAGCTGATTAAAACGCGGCCGCGGAATTAAAATGAATTTCGTTAATTAACCAAATCCCAGTCCGCGAATCGCTTTTGCAGCCGGACGCGGAAGCCGGATTAAGATGCACGAGCAAGTTTTAGCGTTCCGTTCCGGCGAACGGACGCTACCGAACACTTTTATTACAATCCCGTAAGATTAATCGCTTCGATCCGATCCATTAATCATTCGAATCGGCCCGAACACGTCCATCGGTGATTCAGGTAGAACGTGCTTCGATTAATCCTCCGTTAATGTATTATTTTACACGCGCATCGACGGGAACATCGACCATCTAATCAATAGTCGGACAGAACGCGCTCCATACATATTTATGTTCACGAATATTCAATTATTATAATTAATTTGTGTGTAAACTCTGTTATATCATACCGCTTCGCCGTTAAAATCTCAATTATCGGTACTTTCGGTTGTTAAAATCTTTGATCCCTCAACTTTCAAGCTACCTGACTATTATATTTTAAACTCTCGGCGATTTCAATCGCAAAAATCCTCGACTTCTCGACTTCCCGTCGTTCCTAGCGGCACTTCGATCCAGGAGACAGAAGGCCTCGATAAACCGTTCGAACTGGAACAGGTACATCGGGTGTTTTGAATCGAAACTAGCCGAAGCTCCGCGCAACGGAACGAGTGTCTCCGCAACAGTCGGGATGAGATTACAGGCTGACTAATTGCAGCAGGGCTGCGGCGTCCACAGCGCAGCCAGCGGCCTGCATATTTCAAACGATCCACGAGTATTCTGAATACACGGAGGCCTGTGTTCCGTGTCGCGTTAATTATGCGTGCTGCCGATCCCCGGAGAGGAACACGGAAAGAGAGAGACATGCGCGAACGAAGAACCTAGTAATTACACGTACACGCAACGAGCCACGATAAGAACAATCCTTTCCTCTTTGCCGTCAACTTCTCTAATTGTCTCAATTGTCGAATCGTTGATCACAGTCGGACTTCTATTTTCTAAAATTTCCGCTCGCCTGGCGACTCTGAGTTATCACTTGTTCTGATATAGTTACAAGTTACAACTTTAAATTTAACATCAAGGTTCGTACAGTGCATCGACTGTCTTCATCTCGAAGAGTTACTAGTGACACGTGTCGAGCGAGGATCCGCTCGACGAATTCCGAAATTCTGATCGAGATTTCTAAGCAGGTCGCCGGGGCAATCGACATCCGATTATGACGGGTTGCGGCTCCGCTGATTACAGGCTTTGCGTTTCCCGATTCGAGCCGAGGATCCTCTCTGTGCCGTTCCGCCGCGGCGCACACGTGCAAACGTTAATTCGCACTTACTTAGCGGCGGTATACCCGACCGACCGACCGACTGCCACTTCCGCTTAACCGGCTTTGTCGACCGCAAATCGACCTTCGCGTCTCGAGCCCTGGCCCGCAGGAATTCGTCGGACGCGTCTCACGATTGCCCGATGGATATCATTCCTCGGACGTAATTCAATTGCGCTGCGAGATCTCGAATTAAAAGGTTCGAACAGGTTTCAGTTTATCGTGGAATTTCGTTCAGTTCTACCGGAATCTTAGGTTTTACATACGAGTGAATATTACGAATAAGTAAAAGACTTTGAAGTCAATCTGACGAGTTATTTCTGAGTTGCCGTGTATGTTCGTTTGATCAAGTTCTTCGTTCTAGTCGAAGGAACTAATCGACGAGGAAATTCTCGAATTCGATAT